CCCCCTGTGGTATTTTGCCACTCAGCAGAGCAGATCTTTGTTTTGTAGGTATTTTTTGATAAGCAGGATTTGCTTTTTCTCTGGTCTGTTCTAAGGCTAGTCAGTCAAAATGATAGAAGATATAAAGGAAATACATTTAATGAACATATTTTAGTTTAGGAAATTAATTTGTTGGTATAATTTCAAAGTGTAGGCCTATATGAATTGTAAATATTTTTGGCTTACTTATGGGTTGTTGTTTTTTAGTACTGTTCATCATAAATAACATTAAGAAACCAAAATTGCAAATTGTAGAGGTCATGATCGATATTATCTTTTCAAGATGTGTTGTGTAATCCCTTTTGTACCACTCCCAGGCCACAGACATTGACGCAGGCTTGAACGGTGAAATCATCTACAAGGTGGGCCCGAATTCCCACTTCGATATCGACAACCTGGATGGCAAGTTGTTCACTACCAGTGAATTCCTCGAGCCTGATCTGTCCAAACGCATCATGCCGTATGAACTGAACGTAGAAGCCAGGGACCGAGGTGTTGGGCAGAATGGTTACAATTTCAACCAGACTAAGTGCTACGTGAGTTCCCATTTTTCAGTCGCTTTACCTGTCCCTGTGGTTTTATGCACCCCTCATATTGATCATTTTTTGCATAATTTCTCATTACATAAATTTTCCTTTATCATTCTTTGTTAAAATTAACAGAATCGCATAATTTCACATTTTTAGGCTCAGTTTGCATAATTTCAGAATTTTTCTTGCTTAAAACAATGGGGACAGTCTGTTAGTGTAGTCTCCTGTTTTCCCAGTGCCATATGTGAGGTGTGCTGACAAAATGAGTTACTTTTCACAATCCACAAAAGGAAATATTGGCCAAAAATCAACATTAGGCTCAAATATATATAAATTTTCTGTTGATGCCATATTCTTTAACTATAACCTGTCTTTTATAATTTCATACTTATAAATTGTAAAAACTTCACCTATAAGCGTGGTGGATCTATTTCCATAAGGCTTGAATCCGAGAAGAAACTCATTTTTGTCAGCACACTTCACATAGTGTCCACACTGTTGCCGAAACTCCCTCAGACCAATGATATGGTATCACTATCAGTATAATCAGGAGTTCAGGATGCAATAGGTTATTTATGAATGTTTCAAATGAGATAATTTTTCGAAGGGTGTTAAGTCAAAGAGTTTGAAAACCATAGATATGGGGTACATAGAAGCGGAAGCAAGAAATTGGCAAAAAGATATTATTAATCCGAATACAGGAAAAAGAGGCTAAAACAGCACCTGGACATGGATGGCTGGTGCCTCTATAAATAAATCATTGATGGTCTAGTCTGGTTAAGTCAAAGAAAAGCTAAGGACAATTGTATAGTTTATAAATATGTGAGGAATCACGATGAAATCAGGCGCTCGTCAAAATAATTGAAATTAAAGTAAATGTCATTTTTCGCGGGTAAAGCAATTTTAATCCAATTTTTTCAATTTTTTTAAAGTTCATCACCGTTTTTGTCCATTTAAAAAACATATTTGTATTTGTATTTTACTTAAGAACGTTGTTTAAAGGAACAAGAAAAAAATTTCAGTTTCCAAGGATTCTCAAGCTATAGAAGTCTCCATACTTTGGCGGCCATTTGTTCACTATTTTTTCCACCGATACCAGTCAACCCTATCTCCTTCAATGGCAAACATATCGACCTCTATTTAAGATAGATAGGTATTTACTTCAATGAAAGCAAGGTAAACGAACAATCTTTAAGACGATACCAATAACTCAACATGCCCAAAAATTGACCAGTGCCTGATTCCTCCGCATTGTGACACTTATATTGTTGTGCCTTTTTTCAGGTGAATCTTATTCGACAAGTGAACAGATTTGTGCTGGTGTTGGAGGATGTGAACATGGCAGATGTCGTCGCTGAAAGGGAGAAGTACCGCATGTAAGTTCTGCTTTTTCATGTCTTTAAAGATGATTTAGGCGTTCTTCTCAGTCAGGGAGGGATTGAGGAAATGAGATTTGTTATAAATCCTCGTCCTGCATTCCTTGATCCTCACCTTTCTTGCGTTAAGCTTGTCTTATATTTTATTTTATTTTCTGGACAAGAAGTCACATTCCAATCTTTGAATAAAGACTTTACTCAGTATCTTGCTACTTACTGCTAAAGGAATTGTTTGTGTGTGCGTGGGAGCGTGCGTTCGTGCATATGTGTTTGTGTATGTGTATGAGAGAGTGCTTGTATGTTTTTGTTTCTTTGCATGTGTATATTATGTATGTATGTGTGTTTATACAAAACTTATGCTGTGTGACATGCTCATAGAAAACAAATATAACAAGGCGAAAATGTGTTAGTTGTTTTGTTTTTTGTTTTTTTCTTCATACAGAACTTTTATTTTACGTCTATGTTTTTGTGTTGTTTTGTTGGCGAAGCATGTTCATATATCTTGCTGACTCACTGTAAACTGCAACTGAACTCAAGCAGTATTTTATCAGCCTTATTCATATTCATATTGGTGGGTGGTTGGCGGGTGTTCTGATGTGGTTTGCTTCTTCTTTCCTATCTAACATCTATCGTCCTTATCTCCCCTTCTTCTTTTTTATGTTTGTTACTCTCTTGTAACACCTCTAATCTTCTGCCGCTCATATGACCTAATGCAGTTGCGAGCGCCATAAAACCTCTACTAAAAACTAAAAGCCTTATTCATATTGTTCTCACTATTTCAGAAACATCCAAAATGCCATTGGTTATGTGGTCCTTATCGAGAAAATTGAGGCTAAAAGAACGGAGAGTATTCGAAACGGAATACAGATTCAACAGCAGTCGTAAGTTTGGGTCGGGTTCTTGACCCTCTTCTTCACTTATATTCTTTTTTTTTTCATTAGAGATGATTTAAGATGATTTAGGCGATCCTATCAGTCAGGGAGGGATTGAGGAAATGAGATTTGTTATAAACCCTCGTCCTGCATTCCTTGATCTTCACCTTTCTTGCATTAAGCTTGTCTTATATTTTATTTTGTTGTCTGGACAAGAAGTCACATTCCAATGTTTAAGTCTGAAAGGAGTTTTAGGGGGGTTTAAACATTTTAAAAAAAAAGTGGATCCCCCCGGAAAAAAAAAGAAAAGAAAAGAAAGAGTAGATCTATCTTTGTTCCGAATTAATTTGTCACAATTGTTTTTGTTATGTATTTCATTATTCTTTGGACCGTCGTTTCTCTGTACAGGACTGATTTGACTTTTGTGGTTGCCCTGCCCCGAGAGCCTTACACCTTGCTCAATGTAACCAGCCCGTTTGCTCAAGACAAGTAAGTTAATTAATTTCGTCGATTGTTTTACTTGCACAGTGTGTGATTGATGTGGATTTTATTTTTTAGTCTCTCGTTGTGTGTCTGTTTGAATCCTTCGTTGCTTGTATCGGTTTTATGTTTAAAGCTTTGTCTGTGCTTTTTTTAATGTATACTTGGGAGGACTTCTGTAACGAGTGACCACTATAAGACAGAGCAGAATTGAGGGCTAGGGGTAGGGGTAGATCTAGGGATAGGGGTAGGATTAGGGTTTGGGTTAGGGTTAGGGTTTGGGTTAGATTTAGGGTTACGGTTAGGCCTCTTCTTTATTGTGTTTGATGACGTGGTCGCTCGTTACGGAAGTCCTTCCGTATACTTTTTTACAAATGCTAAATTACAGACATGTCAAAAGTGATTTTTGCGCTGATTGGATTCTTTGAAGGCCATTGGCCTTTACGGGAAATTATAAAATGAAACAATATTGTAAAAAATTTTATTGTTATTTATTAAAGTTGTTTTAAATTGAAAATATATTTACACCGAATTTTAATATCTTAACATTTTAAAGTCTAATTGTTGACCAACCGTGCTGTGAACTGTTGCGAATTCAACCAACTTGTGTTTCGCGCGCTCATATGACCTTATGCAGTTGCGAGCGCCGTAAAACTCCATACTAAACTAAACTAGCTGATTGTCTTCTTGTAACAGTGAACACATGTCTTTTTCACACTGAAATAGGTGTATGAACTGGTTGGGTTTTTTTTCCACTTTTGCAGGAAAAAAATAGGGGTATAAGGTAACAAATGTGAGGCAGCGTGGTGGAATCAGGCTCTCGTCAATTTTTGGGCATGTAGAGTCATTGGTATCATATTAAAGCTTGTTCACTTGTCTTTATTTGGATGTAAAAAATATCAATTTATCTTGAATACAAGTCGAGATATTTGCAAAAGAAGGAGGTGGGGGTCTCTTGTTTTCAGAGGTGAAATCAGTGAGAAAATTGCCGCCAAAGATTAGTTATTTACTTAACTTAAGAGTCCGTGGTTACAGAAAATTTACATTTTTTGTGCCTTTAATCAATGTTGTTCAGAAAAATTCAAACAGAAAAGAGTTCTTTAACAGACATGAAAGGTGGTGATTCAAAAAACAAAAATTTGATAAAAAATCCCAAACTTGCGGAAAAATACAAAATTCTTCACTTTGATTATTTTGACGAGAGCCTGATTCACCACGCTGCCTCACAAATAAAGTTTACAGTTTCCGAAATATTTCACACCCGAGTGGCAACCAGCTGGTATGGGCTGTTTGTTTACCGTCCCCAGTGGTCAGGTCTTGTGTTGACTTAAGCCTTCACCGGGATCTGTTTGCTTAGTTTGCCGAACACATCTTGCGTGCTTACTGCCCCTGTTGCTTGTTTGGGCAGCCTAGAATCTCACACGCTGGAGGATTAATGCTTTGGGGGGGAATGGGGGGGGGGGGGGGGGAGGGAGTGAAAGAGAAAGAGAGAGAGAGAGAGAGAGAGAGAGAGAGAGAGAGGGGGGGGGGGGGAGACAGAGGGAGAGTGTAGTCACGGAAAGTAATGTTGAAACATCGTAAGTTAAGTGAGTGTGAAGGGGTTGGAGGGTTATAGGGGGAAAAACCAGCCATAGTAGACCATCTCTTGATACAGTTTTTCATTCCGTGTGCTATCAGGAGAGAAACAGATCTATTCTATTCAGTATGCCCCTCGGTGTTGCCAACTACTTCTCTGTTAGTAGTTTGAACTTTTACTTTCAAGTCTTCAAGTACAAATTTGTCTACTATGATAATGATACAACAGGATTTTTTTAGGATGATTTCTGAATGTGATTCTGTTATGGTGAGCTTTTTAAAAAAAATAAATTATACAAACTTTTTATTTGATTTTGTTGATTGTAAAGTTAAAGTTATTATACTTTCTCTCTGTTTCGTATATATATATATATATATATATATATATATATATATATATATATATATATATATATATATATATATATATAGTTTTTGTTAGCTGTAACCAAAGCAGAGCTTTATTTTCTTACGATGCATTCCCTATAATGTACAATGAACAGAGCATTCATTGTGTTTGATATGTTTGCTTTTTTGGTCAATGGTTCCCTTTTACTTTTGTATTCCTAATTGAAAATGATCCATAGGGTGGCGTGTAAACAAAGTCAATGACTTCGTTAATCTATGCTATCTAATGAAAATAGACAATCTGATGAGCTGTTTACCTTCACATAGACGAGTGTAGTGTTTGAGGGTTGCGCTGTCCAGATGCGGATTTGTCAGTGAAGCAAGCTTAGAGGCGGAAATTGAAAAAGCGGGGACATCATGGAAACAGATAGAAAAGGATGCTCAGGACAGGCTTCCCTGGAGTAATGTTGTTGATGGCCTGTGCTCCACTGGGAGTTAAAAAGGGCAAGAGAGAGAGAAGCTTCGAGTGTTGGCCACACGACTGAGTTTACATGATAGCAGACATTTTGTTCCCAATGTATAGCTTATAAGATATGGAGACACGTATGCGACCACAAGGGAGAAAGCTCTTAGAAAAACATTTGTATTCTATGAGTGTGGTATTTTGTCTTTTGACCAAAACTAGGTTGATAGTGCCGTAAAAAACATATACTCAAACAAATTTTGTCCTTTTTCTCCTCCCTCTGAACCGTCTGCATGAATTGACCCCCCCCCCGAGCAGTGCTACTGGTGGTTGTAGTGTCTTTAGGCCATTCCCAAAGGGGAGATAGTAACATGTTCTTATGCACAGTAGAATTGTAAATGGGCTGATTTATCAATGTTATGCTCATACTGTGACGGAACAACATAGGGGGGACTTCTTTTTTTTCCCTCGTCCTTACTATCGTCATTTTTCCTCTACTTCTTTTGAATGTTTGTCACTCTCTGGTGAACTGTTATTTCCGGGGTGCCTTGATAGTTGAAGCAAACTTGATGCTGTTGAGGCTAGAGAGGTGAGCAGTGTAAGCCTGATTCACTGTTTGGACTTAAGCTGTTGACATCCACCTCTTGGCGCTCATACTCATACGACCGTATGCATTTGCGAGCGCCGAAAAACCTTACTAAAAAACCGGATCTTTTTCTTCTTTCTTTTTCTCAGCATTTTGTCTGGTAACGGACCAGCAACCATCAAAACTGCCATTAGCGACAACATCGGAGCGACCGTGGAGACTGTCCGTCTGCCCTTTGACCAGACGCTCATTGTTGTCAACGAAGTGCGCGCCAAATCCTACATCTGGTGGATGGATGACCCATGGGCAGCCCTCATTGCTCTGGCGGCCATTATCATTCTCCTCGCCATCGTCGGCATCATCGTCATCATTTTCACTCATTCCAGGTAAAATATCTTTTTGAAAACTTTTTTTTCTTTGGAAAAAGTTCTGTGATGGGTTTGGTTTGGATTTAGCGTTCTTTTAAGCTCTGTAACTACTGTAAGTGTAAGATTAACTCTTTTAAGCCGAGGGCTCCTGATCATAATTTTCTCCCCGTGGTTGTATGCACCCCGCATAATTTAGCAAAATTTGATCATTTTGGACATAATTTCTGATTATTTTCCTTTATCATTCTTTTTGAAAAATTAACAGGATCTGGTTATTTCACATTTTTGGGCTGATTTTGCTTAATTCTAGAATTTTTCTTGCATAAAACGATGGGGACAGATAATTTTGCCCAATTCCTGGCATCCTGAGCTTTGGCTTTTTCTGCTGGATAATTCAGCGCTCTCTCCTCTGTGTGTGTGTTTGTGCGTGTGTGTGTGTGTGTGTGTGTGTGTATGTGTGTGTGTGTGCCTGCGTCCGTGCCTGTGTCAGTGTGTGCGTCTTGCGTGTGCATGTGTGTGTATGTATGTGTGTGCGCGTTGGTGCTTGTGTGTATGTATGTGTGTGCGCTCTGGTGCATGCTTGCGGGTATGAGTGTTTCTTTTTATCAAGTAATGGGCTGGTCTTTGAGTAGATAACATAGACATAGTGTTGTGTTAAAATTAGCACAATCGCATAATTTCACATTTTTGGGCGCTGTTTGCATAATTTCAGAATTTTTCTTGCGCAAAACGACAGGGACAGATCTGTGACTGATATTTTAAAAACATTTTTTTAATGTTTAAATAGAATTATTTACTGCTTTTGAACTCTTGGTGAGAGAAGTCCTCTGTTAGTTATTTATTTAGTCTTAAGGTGGTTCATTCATAAGCCTGTCCCCATGGTTTTATGCACCCCGCATAATTTAGCAAAATTTGATCTTTTTTTGGTGCCTAATTTCTGATTATTTTTCTTTATCATTTTTTGTTAAAATTAACAGAATCGCATAATTTCACATTTTTTGGCTCATTTTGCATTATTTCATTATTTTTCTTGCATAAAACGACAGGGACAGATAAGCCTGGAGAGTGAAATTTCTCAACTTGTTCGTATTTCTCTGTTTTCAGGTACATGAAGTTCATTCATCAATATCGTGCATACCAAAGCACTTATGACAACCCCGATTTTGCTGAGCCGCCGGGCTTCCTGAGAGAGTATGAAACCCAGGTCAGTAAACATTGCCTGCAGTTTTAATGCAATATAATGATTCATGTATTCGTGCGCATACTCATACATGTGCGTGTGGGCGCACATATGCACAGACGCTCACACACACACACACACATGCACATGCACACGCACACACAAACACACACGCACACACACACACACGGATACACGTACACACACACACACACACACACACACACAATCACACACACTCACTCACACACACAGTCACACAAACACACACACACACACACACAATCACACACACAGCACACACACACACAATCACACACACAGTCACACAAACACACACTCACACACACACAATAGATCGAAGAAGAAGAAGAAGAGGAAGAGGAATAAGTTATTGTTAAAATGTATTCAGCTCTTTTATATTTAACGTTAGTTCGGTAAAGTTAAATTTCAAAAAAAATGTTTGTGAAGTGTGCTGACAAAATGAGTTACATCCCGTATTTGAGCCCTATTGAAAAAAAACCATCTCGCTTATAGGTGATACAATTTATAAGTATGAAATAATAAAAGGCATGTTACAGTTAAAGAATATGACTTCAACAGAGAATCTACACATTTGACCCTAGTATCGATTTTTGGATATTTCCATTTGTGGATTGTGAGAAGTAACTCATTTTGTCAGCACGGCTCACATTTTATTATAAAGAGTAAACTTCATTAGTATTGAAATCTTTTAAATCAGTCATCCATTTTACTCGTAGATCATAGTAAATTAATCTTATAAATCAACCCTATCCGTACGCCCTGGGGTAATTTTGTACCCCCGGGGTTGTATTCTTCACATTTTAGAATACTTTAAGTTGGAAGATCTCTTTGAAACATTCAGTATTTGTCAAAAAATCATTTTGACAGACTGTTATGCAAAGCGTATGGATCGGATTAATGAGTAAATTTCCTCTTTGGAAAGTGGTGGCACAGAGTTCCCCACGTCGTATGGATATGATAGTAAAACACGACGTACTGATAGGGTTAACAGCTTTAATACAGAACATCTGAAAAAAGTGAATGGGTGTCATATATGAAGTGTGCTGACAAAAGGAGTTATGACAAAATGAGTTACTTCTCGGATTCAAGCCTTATAGAAATAGATACACCAGGCTTATAGGTGAAGTTTTTACAATTTATAAGTATGAAATAATCAAAGACAGGATATAGTTAAAGAATATGGCATCGATACAAAATCTATAAATTTGAGCCTACTCTTGATTTTTGGCCAATATCTCCTTTTGTGGATTGTGAGAAGTAACTCATTTTGTCAGCACGCCTCACATATTATGCTATGGTTTCTAACATGATGGAATGTTTTCGTCCCGTGCAGAGTCTCAACATGTACGTGCCTCCTGAGGCAGTCCCTGACTATGGAGAAGTGCGCATGACCTTGGACGAAGGTGGCGTAGAGCATGTCACCCACACAGGTCATGACCCCAGGGTCGCCGCTGCGGTCAACCCCATCTACCAAGGGTAAGTCAACGGCTTTGGGTCCGTTTTCAGCAGTCGTTATTCTCCTTGGATAACTCTGTTGTTGTGGAAATAAAGTGGGTTGGGGGGGGGGGGGGGGGGGTCAGAGTTAATATCTAATTTTGTTTATTTCTTTTTTTACATGAATCTCTCTTGAACCTTTAAAATTGCTGGAAATCCAATTTGTCTGAAGTTTTTTCCTAATTAAATAGTTGAGCCTTTGTTTGAATCAATGCAATGAATTTATTGTTCTCTAGGTTATGGAATGAAAGGAAATCTAATCTGTTGTGTGAAGCCCATGTTAGAGGATCATTCTAAATGATTATTGTTGTGATGAGGTGCCTGAATCATTCTTAAAGTTATACAGTTCAAGGAAACACTGTTACAAGTGAATTGTCCTGTTCTATATATGTGAGGCAGCGTGGTGGAATCAGGCTCTCGTCAAAAGAATTTTTATCAAATTTTTTGTTTTTTGGCTCAACAGCTTTTATGCCCATTTAAGAACTCATTTCAGCGTGGATTTTTCTGAAAAACGTGGAATAAAGGCACCAAAAAATTATAAATTTTGAGTTACCACGAACTGTTAAGCTAAGGAAATAACTAATCTTTGGCGGCCATTTTCTCACTAATTTTACCACTAATCTCACTAGAAAATGAGTAATTGGCGGGTGCTCTAGTGTGGTTTGCTCCTTTTTTCCTATCAAACATCTATCGTCCTTATCTCTCCTCCTCCTTTTTTTTGTATGTTACTCTCTTGTAACACATCTCTATTCTTTGACATTTATATGACCTTATTGTGTTGCAAGTGCTGTAAAACACTTAGGAAGACAAAAACGAAATTGCTAGAATGTCTCACCTGTGACTGTCTCTGTCTTCAGGGACTCCGGCCAGCAACTGGAGCATGCGGAAGCCAAACCAGACAGCATGACCATGCTGTAAACAAAGTCTGTGATGGATGAAACAGCATCAACTTCCTTCTACTTGGAGCCAGATTTGCCAACTATCTGCGTTTTCGTTTTCTCATTTTTTTGACATATCAACAGAAACAACCTTGCCACCAAACCTTGATGTCATTTCCAAAGTTTTTTCACCATAGCCTTCTTCCCTCATATTACTCTTTTCTTCTTTTATTTGCTTTTCAGCTACAGCACAGAATTATTGAAAACTATTTTAGAGTAGTGTATTAGTTTATTAGCAGTGGCAGCTTCCTGAAACACTGCTTGTTAATGTGTATACCGGTTCTCTCCTGTTTTTGCTTTTATTATTACCTAAAATCAAATCTTATTGTTTGAAGTGAGGATTTTTACCGGAGCCTCCTGAAAGACCATGTTGAAAACTGACTTTCTAACATTCCAAGTGTGCCTGTAGTTACTTTTCTTTTACTTATTATAGTTTTTCTTTTTTTTTGTGTCTGGTGCTACGTGATTGTTTCTCGGTCAAATGGACAGAGGGAGTTTTGAGCAAAAGAGTAATTCTGTCATTCTGTCCATCCCATTATATTATATCCCCAAGCGTTTTGAACTAATGAGTAAAGCCTGTTGTAACAATGAGAGTGTCTTATACCAAATACTGTTTGCCTTTCCCCCTTGTAAATGTAAAATTTCTAACAGAAGAAAGAATCGGTTTACGTGTTGTCAGATGTGAGTGCGACTCTTATGAAAATCAGTTAGCTACTGTAAGTGCCAACCGTTTGACGATGAGTAATTAATAATATATGATATGATGTGCACTACCGCAAATTTTTCCCATGCATATATAAAGGTGGTGTGTCACGCCAATATTGAACAGAACTATATTATTGTCTTATTGCGAGCTCTTGTGACACGCCATACCTCTGTGCATACCTGTTTCTCTTGTTGAAATGATTATATTATTTTATCTATCTGTGAGAATTCACTTCCGTATACATACACTCTGTGGGTGAAGCAAGCCAAGATTCTCTCCCCGTGGCCTCCTCATTATTCCCGTGATAGAAGTACTTACAGACTTGTCTCATCTCTACTGCTACATCGCTGCTCTATGAAATGCATGATACATTTATTTATCCTCATCTTCTTGTTATTTCCTGCGGAATTGTTACTTATACCAAAATGTTTTATAAAATTTTTGGCGAGACTGTTATTTATTGTTAATAATATAATGATTTTCTTTATTTACACATGAAAGAAAATGGAATTTATGTACTTAATTTTTTAAAATTTGGGTTAGATCCATTCTTAATAATTTTTTGTTTTGGTGGGATTTATTATTTTTAAAAGTCTGTACAAACAAATTGTATGAGAATGTGGAAAGTGAACCTTTTGGCTTCCAGTACTTCAATATCTCTGTACCGTAACGTTTGTCCCATGAACTATAGATTTTGTAACTTTTTTTTTTTTTTACACAAAATTATATATAATAAAATGTTTATTTCTTACACACCTCTTTGCGTTCATATTTATGATTTATGCATCTACAATAATAGTATGGGTTGTATTTCTTGGGTTGATAGAGAATAAGATTGGTAGATTATAGCCTACTTCAGCATTTGCCCATCACTATTTTCAATATGATATATTATATATATATATATATAAAATATATATATAAAAGAAAGGTTTTGCTTTCGGCGTCTATGGTCTAGAGGTTAGGGGCATCGTCTTCACACGCAAAAGACCCAAGCTAACTTAACGTAAGGAGATAATCTTTATCGAGTACATCGATTTTTTTATGGGACGTTGCAGCCTACCCCTCTTAGCACCAGATTGGCCCTGACAGGCAGTAGAGAAGCCTGCCTTCTAAATGATCTGAACTTTGTATGTGGATGGTTGGTGGGTGCTCTGGTGTGGTTTTGCTCCTCCTTTCCTATCAAACTTCTCTGTCGTCCTGATCTCTCCTCCTTTTTTGAGTTTGTTACTCTCTTGTAACGCCTCTACTAATCTTTATGTATGTATAGTATAAGGTTTTTCGGCGCTCGCAACTGCTAAGGTCATATGAGCGCGCACTTAAATTACCTTATTGTGTTGCAAGTGCCGTAAAACTCTTTCTAAAACTAAACTAAACTTTGTATTAAAAAGGGGGAGGGGGAACATCAAAAGCACCTGCACCAACTAAAATGTTTCATTATTTTTTTTTTTAATTCGCATCATTTGAGCACACAGTTGAAAGATGGCACTAGTAGTAGATCTAACCTTCTTTTCTTTTCCTCTTCTGTTTCTGTCTATCTTACCTTTTCCCTGACTTAAACATGGCCAGAATAATGTCGCTATCTTTTCACTACTAAAACTAAGTCATCTTCCTAGTTTTTGACTAAACTGCAGGGTGCTCTCGTAGCCTAGAGGTTAAGGTGTTGGCCTCTCATTCAAAAGGTCGCGGGTTCGAATCCGGGTAGCGACCAAAAAATTGTCTCCTTTCACCTTCTTTCCTGCTCTCTGGCAATGTTCTGTCGTCTACTTTCATTTTTACTTTCTGCCCTCACCCCCTCACCCCCTTTGCCCCCTCCTCTGGGCTCCTGACTCTTTCTGCAGCCTTTCTACTGCTACTTCTTGGCTCCTCCCTACTGCTGTCTTTCTGCCACACCCCTGATCTTCTGGTAGGAAAGATCTTCACCTAGCCTTCTCGGACAAGGGCGAAAAATCTCGGAGGACCCGTGTGCAAGTTGCGCACGTTAAAGATCCCTTGGTGGTCTAAAATCGATAAGAGTAGACTTCGGCCGCCACCCGGGCAAAATTCAAAATTTCCTATCAACTTGAAATATTAGTTGTGTCCCGCGCGCTCATATGACCTTATGCAGTTGCGAGCGCCGTAAAACGCTTTACAAAAACAAAAGCAAGACTAAACTGCCTTCAATGAGTCGGCCTAACATGAATAGATCCAAGACCTATCAGCTGGAGTTATAGCCCTTACAAAACTAAATTAATATTCCTGGGGAAGGGTTTTAAATTCCTTTTTATTTGTGAACGATTTTCACTTTGCCTTTTCGTCATTTTTCTGTCCTTCATTGATCTTAACTCTTACATTCAAGCAGACCAGAGGATACTTTACACATCTCGCTATCCCACCAACAAAGGTTTAGGATTTTTGGAACACTAAGGGGTCTATAACGTGCACAACTTGCCCACGAGACCTCCGAGATTTTTCGCTCATGTCTGAGAAGGCTAGGTTTTAGATTTTATCTGCCATAAGATCAGGGATGTGGATGAAACATCCCAAGCTAACAAAACAGCAACAAACAAACAAGCAATAACAACAAACAAACATGCAATAACAATAATAACAACAACAACAACAACAACACCGGCTGTGGCATCTCTTCGGGGAGGATTCAGGGAGGTTGGACTGCCTCACCCGCCACCCAAGGGAGGCGGTGGTCCTGGCGAAGAGCACGCTCTTCGGGGCTCCAAACATTTCGAACGGATAGGCTACCACACACACAACAACAACAACAACAACAACAACAACAACAACAACAGCAAACAAAAAACACCCCCTCCAAAACCCCCCAAACAAAACAACAACAACAAAACAACAGCACGATATGGTACTTCAGAAATCACAAAAAGCCCAATGGCTCTAGATATCTATACATAACGCTATTATGACTAAAGTGCAGAATAATAATGCTATGATTAGGTGCATGTTTGGATTCCTAGAAAGAACACCATAGAGTGTCTGCACGCGGTTGATGAACCAGAATTCTTCTTCTTCTTCTTCTTCTTCTTCTTCTTCTTCTTCTTTTTCTTCTTTTTCTTCTTCTTCTTCTTCTTCTTCTTCTTCTT